TTAACACATAAACGAAGATAGAAACTTAACAAACAAATTCGTGTATACGTTGAAATTTTTCTTATGAATATATATATACACATTTTTTGAGTTAATCTCAAAAGTAGCTACAAAATGTATTATTTAAAAATTTCGTTAAACTGCGATTCTTCAGACATTATCGTATTAATTCGTCAAGAGATTTGGAGCGGAATTCGTCAAACTTTTGACAGTTATCGTTTCTTTCACAATTCTGAATTTATCTTAAACCAGTTTTACCAATGATATTATATAAAAAGATACGACAATGCGTACCGAAATTGAGGCATTCAAATTCCACAAATTGGTGTAATTAGATTGCTATTGTATAGACTGCCTATCTCATTCCGTATCATACGTTCAATATCATCTGCCACATTCACTTAAATAGTGTAATATAAAGTAAAGAAAAAAATGTTTAAACGTCAATTTTTATAAAAAAAAGTTTTTATTTAATTTAAGTTAAAGTTTTTATACTTAAAACTCAATTTTTATAAAAAAATTGAGTTTTAAGTAGAAAAACAGGTAAACGTTAAAGTAAACATAATTATAAATATTTTTTAATAGAATAATCCTTGATATTATTACTAAAAATCATAAATAACGTTAAGTACGTTAATAATGATTCGTACCGTATACAAACAATGTTTTCGACACTAAAATGGTCTAAATTAGAATAGTAATGTACGCTAAATGCTGTTGAAATTGTTAGAGTCAAGTTCAAGTTAATGACCGCAAATTGTATGCCAACAAATTTTGAAAATATTCGCTCCAGTAATGATACACAAACCGTTAAACACCTCACTTAATCACAGTAAAGACATTTAAAGGGACTACCAATGTTTTTTTGGCTTATTATTCCAAGAAAAAAACTGTGTGTTATAATAAATTGTATATATATCTTAATTATAATGTTACGCACTAAGAGAATAAATGGATTGAAATGCTGGTATTAGTAAGTAAGTATTGTAATTCATTGCTACTATTGGGAATCGCTGCACATGATTAATGGTCACATAGTATTTTAACGTAACATTTTTGCATCTTACATTTATCTTACAGTGTCTTTAAGACAATTGTAAATTAGCTTTAATATACACAATGGTCATGAGGCGTTAGAATCCCTTTCGGTTTTCCCTTAATAACATAATTTAAATTATTTTCTCGGATTTTAAGGCAACTGCTCTGTGATCGCTGCTAAGCGATAATAAACACCGTCTTCCTAGTTTTTTAAACAAATATATTATAATCGATACAATTCTACGATGGTAGGACCACGCAACAGTGTTCGCTGTTGCACGAATGGGCAGGTCCGTCCGGGCTAGTACCACGACCTCACAGAAGACCGACGTAAAGTAGAAGTGTTGCACTTCTGTGTTTCGTCTGGTGAGTGAGGTAACCGGGGCCCACATTATTAAGAGGTGGCAACGCATCTGCAACCATCAGGTGAACCGCCAGCTCGTTTGCCACTTTCTCACATAAAAAAAAATAAAAAAAAAAAATTGAGTTCTTAACAAAAATTATCCAAATGTGACGTCTCCCATTTGACTGTTGACGCTACTGGAGAGAAGAAGGTTATTTTCTCACACGAGGGCTAAACTCTTAAAAGGCATAACATTCAGCGAGAAAATGCAGTTGGCTTTCTAGGCACCTTGCCACATAGGCTAGGTTCGACAGTGTGTAGGTGCTCGAGGCTGTTAAACGGCAAGAGCGGCTTAGCGCTCTTTTGACGTGGCGTGCACGGCTTTGTAAAGAGCAATTTGCACGCAAACGCGTCATAAGGGCAATTTTGCCGGTCTTCGAAGCCTGGATGCAGCGACGGTGGGGAAGACTCACTTACAGACTTACACAGATAATCACAGGGCACGGCTGCTTCGGTGATTATCTGTGTAGGATTGGACGAGAAGCGACGGCGATGTGCTACCACTGCGGTGGGGTGAACCAGGATTCCGCAGACCATACACTTGCGATATGCCCTGCATGGGAGCAGGAGAGGCGGATCCTGGAGAACCATATTGGACAGAGACTTTCCCTGACAGCAGTTATTTCTGCAATGCTGTCCGGAAACCCAAAGTGGAGCGCTGTAGCCTCCTTTTGCGAGTCTGTTATGCTCCAAAAGGAGGGTGCTGAACGTGATCGCGAAAGAAGTGATCCCACCCGCCGGAGACGACGGCAGGGAGTTGGAGCTCCCAGCCATGGCACCCAAAGATAGCTTCGTTGAGTGAACGGGTTATTGGGGCTGCAGGTGATCAAGATCCTCATCTTCGCGCACGTACTTGGGGTAGCGAGTATATCCCCGAACCTGGGCTACTTAGTAAGTCAGAGAGGCCGCGGTTGCGTTCCTTTAGGAGATACCGTGCCCCCTCATCAGGACTAAAGATGAGTAACGTGGGGTTTTAGTTGGTAGGAATCCGACATAACCTGTCTATCCTCTCTTGGTAGACAGGTATCCTATGCAGGATTTCCTCACGAAAAAAAAAAAAAGTTTCGACAGTGTACAAGTAATTTAGTTTTATACAATGTTGGAAATATTTATTTTTTCCAAATGTTCTTTGGTACTAAAAATATAAGCAAAATGTGTATTGAAATCGGGAACATTTCTATTTTTCGAATATAAGTACTATGTATTTCGAATAGTTACAAAAAATTATTTGGAAAACAAAAAAGTACTTCGTTTTCAACGACTTCAAAAGAGGAGGAGGAGGTTTTCAATTCGACTGTATTTTTTTATGTTTGTTAACTCATAACTTTCGACTGGGCGAACCGATTTTGATGATTATTTTTTTATTTGAATGCTGGTGCTTCCCGCGTGGTCTGTAATTTCATTGGTATTGGATCTTCGGCTCCGGAGATACTTAGGAAACTTCTGAAAATCAATTACAAAATGAATACAGAGCGAGATATTTGAAGTCGGGTTTGTTTTTCGTTTATAAAAATAGCTTTAACATTATCTTTAAGTCGTCATTACATCACAACACACTAATAAGCCCAAAGGTACAGCTTTGTTAATCTTAATGTCTGTCCTCCTTGAGGCCACCGATTCAAGAGAATTAAATTACGAAGGCGGATTATAAGGGGCGAAAAATGAGCTTAATTTATTAAGCTTGAATTAGTATTTACTCCTCGTTGTTGGGTGAACAAATTAAGTTTTAGTAACAATCAGTGGGAATTCGTATTGCTAATTTAGAAATTTTCCAAGATATTGTGATATTCATTAATAATAAAATAAAGGTACCTAGTTAATGGAATAACCCGTTTCTCGTGAAAATTCCAAATAGAAGGAATGAACTTAGTAATTTTCAGAGTTTGTCGAGCAGAATTAACTTTGTCTTATCCTTTGTATCATACATGTTACCTACGTTTTTACTAAGTAAGTTAGTAACTAAACACGTATTATTATTTCCTAGTGAGTAAATAACATGAATAAGTAAAGTATATTAAACAATCTCTTATATTTATTATTTACCTTGACAAAAGTGGACTTATCCTTTGGAGGACAATGGTTGTCATTTACTATCTTAAATTTCAAATTACATGCAGACAATATTTTTAGAAAAGGACACTTTAACGTAACTTCTTAAAAATTGACAATTAGTCTAATCCTAATATTACTATGAGTTCATAGAAACATAATGAAATATTCATATTTACGCTGCTACCAAAATGCTTAAGATTCTTAACTTTTTTTAGCTATTAATATGACACCAACCTGCAAAGCAAATACTGCCAGCTGTACTGCAGTAAGTATAAAAAAACATTCAGGCTAACGTTTCATATTTGTATATGTCATTCTATTTATAAGTTGCTTAGCAGTTTGTGGTTATATTTTAAAACTAAGGCCTATGGAATGATTATATCAATTTAGAATACTAACGAATACGTTATGTTTAAAAGAAGAGAATCTCTTCCTCATTTTAGGAATTGAAAAAAATGTTTTCATGATTTCCTCTTTCATTCTTCAATGAATTCCTGTGTTTACACGCATTCTAGACATTCTTAAATAACTAATAACTCTGTTGTTAATCTCTGACCGAGCGGTCGTCATTGTATTGTGACAAGCTTGACTAGCAGTTTCCACTTCTCCCTGACAGTTTTTTTCCTGGTGCACTCATGCAAGGGGACGTCCATCGCAGCAATCACATAGTTTGTGTGTCTAATGGGCAATTTGCCCCGCGCTCTGATATCATAAAATACTAAATGAGTTGCAATTAACAAGTTAAGTCATTCGCGAAACAAGTTTTATGTAAGTGCTAAATGAAGGTCATCTCCGATTTATATGGGTTGTGTTGAGCGTATTATAAAATAAAGTAGTTGTCATCCTACAAGGCGTTTCAATAACACAACATGGTGACAGCGGTGTGAAATAAATTCATATTTCGCGAATTTATTAAAGTATCGGTAATAGTAGTTGATAAAAGTGGATCAGGGATTCATTTCTAATGGAGCATGCAAGACCACCGCCGGAATTGTGCATGGATGGCAGCCCCGTCAGCCGGGCTGACGCTTGGAAGAGGTGGAAGCTACAATTTCAGTTATTTTTAAAGGCCTCGGGTGTACATAAAGAAGAGGCGTCAATACAAGCTAGCTTATTAATCAACTTAATAGGCCCAGATGGATTTGATGTATTTCAAACATTCACGTTTGCAAAAGAGACAGATCGTGATGACGTTGCGGTGTTGTTAAAAAAATTTGATAACTATTTTGGAGTGAAGCCGAATATCACATTAGCAAGGTACAATTTTTTTATGAGAAATCAAATTGAAGGGGAGTCCATAAATCAATACGTCACTGCGTTAAAACTGTTATCAAAAACTTGTATGTTTTCAACTTTAGAAGAAGAATTAATAAGAGATAGAATCGTGTGTGGCATAAGAAACAGCATCGTTCGAGATCGCTTATTGCGAACGGATGAATTGAGTTTAGAAAAGGCGATAAAAATTTGCCAAGCGGATGAAATTTCAACTGATAGTAGCCGTCAGTTAGAATTGCATGCTGTCGACTCGGAGCAAGCATCCATAGATCGTATTAAAGCGCACAGTCGAGAACGTGCTGTCGAAAACAAGCGATGGAATGCGAGCGGCGGTTTCACGACTCAAAGCGGCAGCGTCGCAAGCGCAGGCGCCAGCTGCGCTCGAGGCGGTCAGCGTAGGGGTGGCAACGTCAAGCGTTTCGAACGTCGAGCGCCTTGTAAATACTGTGGCAAGTATTGTGTACGGGGGAAATGTGCTGCGGCCGGTGTAAAGTGTTACATATGCGGTGGCTATAATCATTTTGCGAGAATGTGCAGTAGTCGATCGAAAAAAATTTATGAAATAGATGTTCGTACTGAAAATTCAAATAGTGATAGTGAATCCTTTTTTATATCTACAGTTTTCGACTCATCTTATGTTAATAAATCAGATGATTGGTATGAGACATTAACAGGTGAATGCGGTGTTGAAAAATTTAAACTTGATACGGGAGCGGATATCAATGTTCTATCCTATAAGAGATTTTTGTTGTTAGGATATGATGTTAATATATTAGATGTTACGAGTAATGTTAAGCTACAATCTTACAGCGGCAATATTATTCCAATAAAAGGAATATGTTATTTAAAGTGGTGGTACAAAAATAAGTTATTTGTATTGAAGTTTGCCATAGCTAGTATTAACTGTCAGAGTGTTTTAGGTAGAAATGCGTGTGTTAAATTAGGTTTGATTAAGCGTATGCATGATATAAATTTGTTAAATTATAATAACTTATTTTCTGGCATTGGCTGTCTTCCTGGAATATATAGTATTGTTGTTAACAAGTCTGTGAACCCTGTAGTAAGTGCGCCACGTAAAATTCCCTTTAGTTTGCGTGACAAGTTACTTGACGAACTGAATAGAAGTCAGTGATTTGAAAAATATCTCTTCAATCTCGGTCATAACAGCATTAAAAGAGAATTTTGGTAGGTATGGTATTCCAGAAACTTTAATTAGTGATAACGGGACGCAGTTTTCTAGTGGTGATTTCAAAAAATTTGCTCTTGAATGGGGATTTAAACATGTCACGTCATCTCCTAACTTTCCTCAATCTAACGGAAAGAGTGAGCGAGCGGTACAAACAGTAAAAAAAATGTTAATTAAGTCTATTAATAGTAATACTGATTTTTTTACTTAAATTTACTAACTTATAGAAATACACCACGTGATAATAATTTGAGTTCTCCGGCACAATTGTTAATGGGGAGAAGACTAAACTGTAGATTACCAATTCATCCTAAATTATTAAAACCGAAGACAGTTAGTACAAGTGAATATGAATATTTAGAAAATAAACAGTTAAAAAGTAAAATGTATTATGATAAACATTGTAAAAAGTTACCGGAATTAGATTTAGGAGATAATGTATTAATTCAACATAATAGCCATCAAAGTAGGGGTCGAGTTATATCCAAAGCGTCAACACCACGTTCTTACGTAGTTCAAAATGAAGTAGGCAGGACTTACCGCCGTAATCGCCGGCATTTAAAAAAATGTCAAAGCGAAATTAAACATGATATAGAACCTTGTGTTCTTCAGGATCCTATTTCAAATGCCCTCAATAATTCTAACAACTGTTATTCAAATAAGAAAGGTCGAGAAAAGAATGATAAACCTATTTCTCCTCCCTTGACCAGAAAAAGAGCAAAATTAATGCAAAAATAATATTAATTGTACTTATTTCATTTTTTTTTGTTTCATCATTTTTATATTGTATTTGTTTATCTTATTTTCAGGGAAAGGGTGTATCTGTAATAGATTATAAGTTATTTTGTTTTTTGAATTTTGTTATTGTCACTTACTTTTTGTTTTTATGGGGAAGATGTTGAGGGTATTATAAAATAAAGTAGTTGTCATCCTACAAGGCGTTTCAATAACACAACAGGTTGACATATAAAAATCAGCCATGTACCAGAAATGCATTCTTTAAGTTAAATATTGACTTGGATAAGTCACACGTGTGCATCTTCTATTTCCTAAGCGTATGCAATGTAAAAACCATTTCCTTATTTTTGAGCAACAGTATTTTTAAATGCATTTATAAAACTAATTTTCCAATCAAAATTGAAATCCGGAAGAAGAAAACTAGTGAAAAAAAGATGTGCGATGAATATATTTGATGAAACAATGTATAAATACGTATTAAGTAATGTAACTAAGTAAATAAGTAATGTAACATCGACGTATCTTCAAACTTCAAAAGTCATTTCAACTTCGGCTTGATCTTTAAAACACCTATTCTTAACTTCTTTTGTGTTTTGAACGAGCAATTTCTCATTTAAGACGGTGTTATAAGGGAAAATTTTGGATTTTTTGTTGAAACTTCGGCAGTTATAATACTTACAAACCATTACTTACAAAGTCCATTTTTCCATTTCAATTCCTGTAAAAACCGAGCTATTTTTCATACTTTTTATTTAAATATCAGAGGAAACGAATAAATAAAATCATGCATAATGCCTTTCTATTTATCCCGCATCTGTATAAATTTAGAAGATAAATTAAAAAAAACCTGAGTTTTGAAACCTGAATTTAATATTACCTTTATTTGTTATTTGTCATAAATGAAATGGTAAATGTAATAAAAACTAGATAAATATCTTATATAAGTATGTCGCCTGAAATTATTTTTGGTAATATTTTGACCCCTTGTCATAAGATCACACCGTCGTCACTCTAACGCATTGCTTTTTCGCTTTATGGATATTCTAATACTTTTTTCAAAATAGAACAATATACATTAATATATTTTAATCTACGTTGAAAGAGTCAAATTAAATAATGCAACAGCCAATTTTTAAAATTAGGCTTCCTCGCCAGAACTTCGCTATGTGGGTCCGGAGAGTCTCTTAACCATCTCGATCTTCGCTCCGCTACGGACTTCACCAGCTTCTAGGATCTCTGACGCGAACTTCTGGCTCCGCATTTTAATATTCACTCTTAGTAAAGAGACCACAAGACCTTATGTAATTACGGTGTTCTGTGTTGGCTTACCTATTCTACTAATAGCCTAGGTCGAACGAGGTTGATGACTTTTTTGTACTGACGCTAACGTTTAAAACATTTGATGTAAATAATACATATTGTTAAGAACATGTATTGGTATACATTTAGTAGTAGTAGTAAATAAGGTAAGTGCCTTCTAACAAAGTGAAAACGTAAGTTTTAAACTAATTTAACCCAGTTTTATACAATAGGTTGGGGAAAAAGTTTCTTCGCATTTTATTAAAGTTTATTTAACAATAACTTTTTTAATAAAGTTTATTTACATTTAACTAAAGTATGTGGGTTCCATTTTGTTCGATAACTTTCTGCCATCTTGTAGGTAGTGACATGATTCCATTGCTATAGAAATTCTGGGGCTTCCGACCATAAAACCGCGACAAGTGGCACACAACTTGACACTGCCTAAAGAATTCTGAAGAGACCGAAACAAGTAGAAATCTGAAGGTGCAAATTCAGGACTATATGGCAATACCTTGTTGCGAGATAACCCGGGTCTGTGAAGCCTGACCAGCATTCGACCACGACCTTTTGCGCACGTTCTTGTCGTACGTGATCCACTTTTCATCCCTAGTTATCAGGTTTTTCAAAAATGGTTCGGTTCTATTACGTTCTAATAAAGAATCACAAATGAGTACACGGTTCATTAGGTTTCTTTCAGTGAGCTCATAAGGCACCCAAATATCGAGGTTTTTTGTGTACCTAGCTTTTTTCAAATGCGCCAAAACTGTCTTGTGGTCACTTCCCAGTTCTTCAGCTACATCGAAACTACTGATATGCCGATCTTGCTCCACTTTTTCAAAAATGGCATCCATTTTATCCGTAACAGGGCGCCCAGAGCGAGGTGCATCTTTGACATCAAAATTTCCGGATTGAAAACGCTTAAACCCAATTTGTGCTACTCTCACACACACTGCACTAGGTCCATAAATATCACAATTTTTTTTCGCGGCTTGCATTGCATTATTACCTTTTTTGTAGTAAAATTTTAAAATGTATCTAATTTCTTCATTAGAATCACTCATCTTAAAAGTAAGAAAAACAAATGAAAATCACACATTTTCCTAATTTGAATTTGGAATTATCTTTTTTAAAATTTAATGATACCAAAACCAGCCAAATACAAATGGTATAGCCAAAGAGATTATATTATAAGTACATACATACTATTTATGCGAAAAGAGTTTTTCCCCAACCTAATAATTTAATCATATAACTTATTTTTAACATTTTTCTTATTTTAGTGATTAAATTTTCGCATAAAAACTTACTTAATAGTTTTTCGTACCGTATACAAACAAAGTTTCTGACACTAAATGGTCTAAATTAGAATATTAATTTACGCTCAATGTAGTTGAAATCGCTTAAGTCAAGTTCAACTTAAGGACCGCAACGTATGTCAACAAATTTTGACAACATTTGCCTCAGTGCGATACACAAACAGTTACGTCCTTAAATGTTAAACACATTTAATTAATCTCACGAAAGTTATTCAGGTCTTATTAAAATTTGTTTTATTTATTAATTTTATCATGGATATGAAAAAAAACTACTTTTAATAAAATTAACATATCTCATATAAATTATGACAAAAAGACAGAAAGCTAAAAAAAGTAAACTGTTTTTCACTAATACACCAACAGACAAATTTATTGTGAATTCAAAATATAATATCTGAGGTGTAAGTTTCGAGTTTCGAGGTCACAGGTTTTATCAATGTTTCTCCTTCTTTCTCATGCCCTAGTAGGGGTCGGTACGACATTTGGATCATGGCTACGTTTTTTACAACCAACCGCCTTCCTGACGTTAATCCTCCGTGAGGAAAAAACACCCAGACATCCGGAAGAATTATCTGAAGGTCACACAAATACTTGTCCCGTGTGGGAATCAAACCCACTTCCCCCGGCGCCGAAGCCAGCTTAGCAACTGTGCCATCGCGTCGTCAATATTTTAAATAGAAAGTTTCCTGTAGGTTTGTTCACACGGTACCTCAATATTGAATACGTCAAGTTCTACCAAAAGCAAAAAGTTTTACGTATCACTTTAATATTAATATGAAAATTAAAAGAAACTATTTTACTACAATTTTACTTTTACTTTAGGTTTAAAGAATTTATTCTCATAAAAACACAAAGTTTACATAAAATGAGATGCGTTACAAGATACAAAATATAGTTCATTTTAACCTCTTTAGCATTGTGGAAGACAAAAGCAGTAATATTATTTTGGGGGGTAGATGAAAGTATAAAATATCAATA